TTGGGATATTTATTAATTAAAATGTGCTTTGATTTGATATCTGTGCACATTACAAATATTTTCAGCAACCTTAAAAGTAATGTGTTCATGTGACTTCCAACAGGGTGTAACACTACAGTCAGTATGTAAGCTTAAGTGTCAAACTGATTGATTGCCTGCCTGCCTGCCTGCCTGCCTGCCTGCCTGCCTGCCTGCCTGCCCTGCCCTACCCCCCCCTACCCCTCCCTTTGTGTTGTGACAACTCAGTCAAGGTTGATGCCATCAGTGCTCTTTTAAAGTATTCATTAGATTCACTGATCAAAAAGGTGTCAGTTTCCGTTGGTAAAGATAAGTAGACAAAGGGAAAAAGGCAGTGAGTGAGACTTCTCTTTTCAATCTGAGGGGGAATAATGTGTGTGTGTCAGTGAGTAGTGTGTGTTTTATGACACAGTGAGAGCAAAGGTCTGAGGTTCAATGATCAAAACATAACTCAAGCTCCCAAAGCACACGTACACAAAAAAGTATCAGATTTAGACACATTTTCCCGTTTGGATTAACCTGCAGTAACACTCGCTCTGTACTGTAACACACACATATTCACACACTCAGACCTGGCCAGTAGAGCTAATCTTCTTAGCAATCACAAGGTTTGACCGTTGAAAGAGAACAAAGTTCAAATCGTCAACAACAACAGTGGGGGCATTTCTGCCAATGAGAGAGAGGGACGGGAGCAAAAGAAAGACAGAAACTCACAGTACCTGCTTTACCTCTGGATTACACCCGCCATTTCTCCCAGAGGAATTATTCTGTGGATTATCTCACTTCCTTCACCGGTGAAACCTGATGTGACACCCTGACGCTGACTCAGTTTTAAAACTTTTGGGTCTTGAAGTTATGTGACAGCCATCGCAAATATGTCACCTTTGACCTCCACTTAATTCCTGGCTCTGATACAATTTCATTTGAGTACCGACAGCTGCCAGGACAACTATGTGTTAGCTCACTGATAACATTTGGCAGCCATCTGTAACTCATTACCATCTGCATCCCTTCAAACCTGTCTCTGGGGAACCTGAAACTGTAAGTTGATCTTTTGATTTATACTAATAACCGTCTATGCTGTGTTCACAAAAGTTTTCTGTGAATGTAGCTGCTTGTTTTGGGGTACTCTGAGCTGTGTTTTCCTTTTGTGTTTCCATTCAAACAAAGGAAATGACACACATGACTTGACCATCAGCCAAAACAGATAGGATTGAAATTATTAGCTTGATTAATGATTAATTTTTAACTCAGAATGTTTTAATTTACCATATATGGACACATTGAACTGATCTGCATGCTAATGTTAGCGAACATCGAAACAAAGAATGTAAATGCATTCTTTAAAATGTCTCATACCGCATTTTCCATTGAAAATAACTTTACATCATGTGTCACCACTATTGAAAACAGAATGGTAATTGTATGATGAATGTGCATATACAAAAACTACATTATTTTCTCCATCTCACTTTAAATTGTAAATACATTTGGGATTTTCAAAAAAACAATGGGCAGCCTGCAAGAGCTCTGACTTTTTTCCTTATTTAACAATTAGTGTTAAAATGCTGAAATTACTCAAATTGATTGAAGTACACTCAAAAGGATTTGGTTTGTTTAACTTAATTAACTCTTGCTACAGTACATTCTTACAAATACTATAAGGTACTTTGAAGGAGGTACTACCATGTTACCAACTCTACTAATAACTACATTGTATGTCAACATGAAGGAAAGACCTCATCCAATTTAAGTTTTTACATGATATTAGAACAACTGTAGTATATGACCTAAAAGTCTAAGAAACGTTGACTTACTGTACTTGCTATTAAAACTAAGTCTTATATGTGAGAGAATTGGACTTTCAAAGCATTTAATCCTTTTTTTAACCTTGATGTCATTTGGTGCTCCCATTTCTTAATGAATGCGTAAGTGTCAATCTGATTGTCATAGAATCACATTAGTCTGGCACCCTCTTTTAAAATGTTTCCTCCCATGAAGCAGCAGCATGGAGGTGCTGAGCGGCCCCTGGGCTGATTTGGCTCTGCTCCTTCGACAGACCATGGTGCAGACAGACAGAGAGACAGACAGCTTCTTCCCTCTCTGGCTGTTTGGTCTGCTGCTGTTCCTGTCTGTCTGCCTAATGCTGCTGCAACTGATCGTCTACCTCAGCTGGAAGATCAGACAGGGTAGGCAACGTCATTAACTTTAAATGTCTAGGTCATGTCCACACATCTCTTGCTGATGTTACATTTACCATGGTGCTGTGTAACTAAATGGACGTGTCTTTCTCCGGGGCTACGCTAACTATAAATAAACGCATCAACACATTGAAAGGATTTCTAGATAAAAGAGTACTCCAAAGAGGAGGTTTTATCACTAAAACTACCACTGTCAGTCCAGTGTCACGCACATATTTTTATTCATACCAGTATCTACAGAAAAGTAATACATGAATTGCACCATACTTTCTGCAAATGCACTCGTACACTATGTCTTTTTAACAATACCCGACGGCTCATGTCATGTAGAAAAATTTCTTGAGGCCCTGAAAACAAGCTACACTCTAAATAATGAAAAAGATCCAAAATAGGCTGCAAGAAGAAGAAAAACCACTTGGCAAAATGACATTTATATGATGAAACTAAGTGTGATTGAGGACCAGGTCACTGATTTGATTATCTATAGTGGCCTATTTGTTTGTGTGTTTACATGTGAATGTGTGAAAGATACAGTGTGTGTTAATGAGGGTCAGAGCATCAAAGCGTGGAAACATTGCTGCAATGGCTTCTCTTTCATCTCTGTGTGTGTGTGTGTGTGTGTGTGTGTGTGTGTGTGTGTGTGTGTGTGTGTGTGTGTGTGTGTGTGTGTGTGTGTGTTCTGATAACAAGCGTTGTTTTGATAAGTGAACTTGACCCCTTTGGGCTTTGCTTTGACACAACGTTCAGGCACTCAGTCATCAACACATCCAGTAAAGGTTATAGGTCTACCGAAATCATCCTCTCCCACTACCACAGACAGGATATATGAAAGTAAAGATTTCTTTTATTGAGATTTTCACTAGATAAGCCTCAAATTCTGTTTAAAAAAGGACTGCAGCCTTAAGTCAGCTCACAGTTTGCCCTGATGTATACTGTGTGCAGCCATCTATATAAAGAAGATGTGTTCATCAATTTCTTGGTGAGGCATAATACAAGTGCTGGCATTTTATTTAGTGACCTGTTTTTAAAGATTAATTTCTCCTATGGCCATGTAGTAAAACTAGGAAGTGTGTCTGTGTTTGTAGTTTTCTGTTCATCAACTGCTGTTTATTCTCAGGCAAATTATAATCAATTAAGACTAGTGTTATTTTACACTAGGGGTTTACGACTTTCTCTTCAAGCCTTTAGTATTAACTGACTTTATAGGAAACATGGCTGCATCTGTCGTCCAGTCATTAAATCACCATAAGATAGAGCCTAAAGCTGCATTTCAGGATGTTAATTGATGCGTTAAATAGCACATTAATGCAATTTAACTATACACTTACTCAGTAATATGGTGGTCCTCCTAGCTCCCTCTGCCCGGTTAATTTTTACAAGGAGACGTCCATCTTCAACAATCCAAAGGGGAAACTCTGCAACACAGTTAACACCTTTTTACAACTTTCTAATACTACAGGTATTTTTTCAGAAACAGGAATTGAACAACATAATGTTAGTTGATAATGTAAGCTCCAAAATGTATAAAACAATGAGTTGAAAACATTTTTTACGTTTTCCGAGCTAGCCTAGCTGTAAGCAATAGCTAAGCTAACTTAATAACGCTAGCTAAGTGGATTTCTGATATCAAAGCAGCAGTATAGCCTATTAAAGTTAGCTAGCACACATTTCTAGGGTAGCTTATGAATGGGAAAAAACGATATATATTAAAATGTTCATAATGGTAAGTTTGGAAGTTGATTTTCACAATGTTTTCATTAACTTTTGACACACCTGTGCGTGATGAGGACGAATCGAGTGATTAACACTGCGCATGCGCACAGTGGACAGTTTTCAAAACTCGTTTCCTTCATGAAACACATAAAATCAAGGATTGGCAAACCTACAAGATGACTGAATTTTTTATTTGACGATGATAACATAAATTGTTAGTTCATTATTAATTTTGCAAAGTTTCAAACAGTAACAAGCAATATATCAAAGGAAAAGGGTATGAAACATAGTGTAGGCCTATGACTAGAGGTAAATACCTCCATTTCTCCTGTGTAACCACATCTATGCAAGAAAAAACATGTATGAGGACTATTATCCGTCTGTTTTGTATTATGTCCTTGATTTTATGTTTCAAAGAGTGCTCAAGTTTGTTCTCCTACTATTTCCCAGTTGAGGAGGATGTGGTGGTGGAAAACAGAAGCGCCATCTACCGGCAGATGAACAGGAGTGCAGACCGGAGCAAGAGGAGTGTTGGGTAGCACTCAGCTGTCAGCAGCACACACACACACACACACATTTTCTTCACCAACCACACTGAAAACAGAAGCATAAACCTTCTGAAATCATCACTTTTCTGTCAGATTGCACGGACATCTCTACAAATCAGTGTGATAATAAATATCAACTCAATCAGGAAGAGACTTTATCTCAGCCATCATAAAAGTGCCTTAAGATGATGAATGTTGAAGCGTCTAAAGAAAAACCATTTACTCTGAAAAAAGATTTGATAATGACGACAGTTCTTTTAAACTTCATGGTAATCTTGAATATTACCTTTTCTGTCATTGTTATGAAGCTAAAAGCATCATAAAGCTGTATTTTTCTTTAAAGCTGGGAGAAAGTTTGAGAAACTGTTGAAAAGATAATTTGTTTGTATTACTGTACCTTTGTTTCATTATTAGAATACCTCAACCGAGAAAACTAGTTTTATGATAATTAGCATACAGGATTTACATTTTATACAACAAATCAACCTATGAAAGAATAAAAAATGATGTGACCAACAGATTTCAGAGTATAACAATCCTTTATTTAAACAGTGTTACACAGGGGAGGAGTGGCTGTGCGTGGGGGACACAAGACAATAAGCTGCTAGATAGAAAAACCCTTCTGATGATCATTGGTTGGCTAAAGAGAGAACAATGAGGCAGCTGTGGTTGGTTTTCCAAAGTGTTTTTTGTTTTATACAAAGTTTTTCTTTTGAGTTTTTAAGTCATTGAAATTCAAAATGATGCTGGTTTTATTGGTCATTGAAATGGTCAAATCTGTGGTACAAAGCATGAGATAATAATCTACTTCATCAGCCTCATACAAGAAAACAACAACATACTGTCTTTTGATTATATATTATTAATACCATCTCTTTCTGTTATTAATGTTACCATGTTTGTATGGAGCTGCCACTGTAACTAATAACTTTCACCAGTTTGTCTATACTGTGTTTAATGTTAATAAAGTTACTTATAGAAACGCGTTCATTTGAGACAATTCTTTAATGAACCAAATAAAATGTCCACATTTTGGAAAACCAGACCCCACAGCCCACCCAAAGCCCCTGTGATTGGTTAAAAGAGCCCAGACCCCCAAAAGAGGTTAAACCCGGGGCTAGAAGTACAAAAAATAAATGGTGGCTTGTAGTGGTGTGTTCCTTCAATGTCAAAAACACTGAGACAATATTACAAATATCAGAGAGGGCGCCATTACATCCCAACTACATCAATTTCACAGAGATAAGACAATGAGCAAATCTACAAATATAGCTGTTGTGATACAAGCAATTCCTTTTTCAAAGTGTGACTTTCCTTTGGATAGCGAAAGTTCCAAAGCTGCCTAGCGTTTCATGGTTGTTTTTAGAAAAGGTTTTTCTGCTGCTTTGTGGCGTTAGGGGGTTAAAGGTTGAAGCTTCCCCCTCACCTGGAACCGAATTTAACGGCATAGAAAAGGTCAGACCATTGTGTCCCCATAGAAAGCCCAGGCAGTCATTACCACTCAATCAAGTGGTACATGGAGAATGTGTTTTAATATTTCCTAACGATAAAAGTCTCTAATTCAAAATGCCTCTATGTCCAGTTAGTCGGGAAGTGTTTTCAAATTAATCTGTGGCACTAAAAACGTGTACATTTCAGGACAATTTGTTTTTCCGCAGCTTACAATGAAAATCTTTGTCGACCCCTTGCTCTATCACATTTAATGCCACCAATATTTACACAGTCACATTTTTGTGGAATATTTGCGGTAAAATGACACCAAACACTGAATAAAACATCATGAGATTCAAGGGGTTTCAAGAGCACTTCAAACAGTCTGATACGTTTCCCTTTAAGCAGCATTTTACTTTTTGGTTGTAACTGTCTGATTGTAGTGTACTGGCAACTGATTGTAAAATAGGTCAGGAACATATCAAAATCGCTTTAATGCTGAAGAATATTTTGGTTGCGGTGAATCAGTTACGACATAAGCCGCTGTCGAGAATCTTATCTCGACGTACTGTAGAATAATCTGTTATCTACACACTCTCAAACCAATCAAACACATTAGCCTTCCACCTAGTCTCGCTTAAGATACAAATATGTGAAGACATGCTCAATTAAATCCCAGATCTTATTTTATCAGGCAGGGTTGGTTGGCTTTTTATGAAACGAAGCTGGGAATGAGATGAAGTGCTGAACTATAATGACAAACTGCTGCAAATTAACAAAAGAGAAATCTGAATTTTGGACTGTTTATCAGTTTACTGTACGTCCTCTGTTTGGTACCTGTGCTTAATTTGCACATTTTGTATTAAACATTGTCCTAAAAGTATTCAAATAAAAATCATGAGTGAATAGCATGCCCTTGTCAGAGAGTAAAGGCCAATATGCTTTACATGTATTTTCCCAAAGTTGTTAGTTGGCACTGCGCAGCGCCACCTATCTCCCAATTATCTTTCAGTTTACTGGTCCTCTCTCCCAATCAAAAGACTGCTCCCTTGCTTCCCTGCGGCCCAATAGGAATGGCTAGTGTCGTACAATGGGCGGGTCCAGGGAGAGCATTTAGCTAACGAAAAGCTGCATCCGGCTAATAACCTTTATCTTTACTGTACAGAGAGTTGTATAGCTTTAAAGTCAGTTCATTTTCAGTCAATTTAGTAAAAGTGAATTCTTAAATACAGTAAAACTTACAAATATATCACAAGGAAGTAATTCAACCTGTCTGGTGTCACGTTTAATACATTTTCCTTTTCTTTCCCGTCCACAGTGAAAGGCAAAATGTAAATTCTCTTCTTAGATTTAAGTGGATTTAACTGAAAATGAACTCACTCAGCAGCCAGTCAACACACAAGGAATGTGGATGAATAACAACTATACTTACAGAAAAAAAAGACACAATCATAAAAATTTGAAACAAAATGTTGTTGATTTGTTTTTACTATGATAGATTAAGTTACAGCTCCCTACTTTTTTCTTTTCATAATTGTTAGTGATTAGTCATTTGACTGTGAAAGGGATTTTATGAGTAAGACTGTTTGATTTTGTTGAAAAACGAGCAGTTCTTACTTGTTATTGTTAAATATTTAAGTACTTTGTTACATTGTGTTCCGCTCCATTTACACCAGTCAGTGAGGGAGGGAGCTGTAATTTAAAACAAAACTTTTTTTTTACTTTTTTCTAAGGAATGCACCAATTCCAATTTTCCACTGCTGATACAGTAAAAGAAAAGCACAAAGCTTTAGCGTCATATTTATTCCTTTTTATAAAAAAAAAAATGATAAAGATATTTGTGATTGTCAGTACCTCTACATCTGAAAAAAAACTGGAATATATATTTTGACTATTGAGAAATAATCAATGCGTTGACTCATTTTTTGGTTATCGGTGCATCCCTTCAGTTTTTGAGTTTGAAATACATGACAGACACACTACCTCTCTTTTTGTAAAACAGTTAAAGAAAAAAACACTATTAAAAAAAATTAAAACACGCTACAAATGTTAATCTAACAAAGTGGTTCTTTTTTTTGTTCCCTCGGAAGATGTCATTTTTTTTTAGTTTTTTCTCGTTTGGGAGTGAGGGATTCAGATGCACCTCAGAAATGTAAGAACGATGGACAGGGAAGACGTGAGCGACTTTTCTCCGTTTGTCTCCTTTCTGTTTCTCCAGCTCTCCTCCTCCTCCTCCTCCTCCTCCTCCTCTTCAGTCAGTCAGGGTTGTCGTAGGGTGATGAAGGTCGCTCGACGTCAGCGGAGGAAACAGTCACGATGGGTCCTTCAGCTCTGGGAACACAGAGGGGGGGGCAGTGAGCCGGGGTGGTGGGATGATGGCATTCAACATCAGTTTTCCCACTCAAAATATTTCCTTTGTGCTCCATCAGTCACTGCCTACCTTCCTTAAATGTACTATTCCTTTTTCTTTCAAATCTTTTCATGTTTCATGATGGCTTTATGCTTCATGTGTGAGATTATTTGTTCCTTCAGCTTTCGTAAATTAACCACTGTATGCACCCCACTGCTACGATTACATTGTATTTAGGTGACATATTAGATTAATCATTTATAAATGATTAATTAGCATTTTTTGTAATCTTTTTTCTCTTTCCCCCTAAATTTCTCTATTCGTATTTTTATTAATTTATTACTTCACATGTTTCAATATTTAATTCTCATGTGTTTTGTAAATAGATGCGTTTAACCAAAGTGACTTACAGCAGGTGCAATCAACAGTAAAGATACACAAAATCCTGAAAGGACATTTGCTTCAAATAAGCTTAATTATTTTAAAGTAAAAACATTTTTTGTTAGATTTGAATGACCAAGGTGCAGCGAAGACAGGTGAGTCTTAAATGTACAACAGAAAAAAATATATACCTTTTTCAGTCCTGATATAAATGGAAAGTTCACTGCAACATTTTCGAGCAACACAAAGACCTCCAGCACTTTCACCGTGAATAATAATAATAATAATAATGCCTTACTATTATTATTATTACCTGCGTTCAGTCAATCCTCCTCCTCAGCCAGCTCAGTTTCTTTATGAACCACCACTCTGGTAACAGACATGTCAGGATGCTGCTCTTTGGCCTCCTTAATGGCCTGGGCCAGTGCCTGCAGTACCGAGGGGTAACCACACAGAGGCAGCACCGGGCAGGGCGTGCAGTGGAGGAGGTGATGGGGGGGAGGGGAGGAGGAGGGAAAGGTGGAAAAACGATGGAGTTAAATGAAAAGTTAAATAAGAAGCATAAAGAAAAAGGACAAGAATGCTGGATTTACGATCTATACGCTATTTCACTTCTTCGAGTTGAAGTAAAATGGCTTTGGACACATCAAGTGGAAATAAAATACTTTTGTATCTTATTTCCAATAAAAAAATAAATGTAAATCCAGCGTCTCAAATGAAACAGGCAACTTAAACAAAGCAGTGGATGAGGGATCATGCATAAAGATCCAGACCTGAGTTAAATACATTTTTTTTGTCAAATATTCAAGAGATATGTTGACATTGTATATTTGATTGGGTCTTTAAACTAACTTAGGGCAGGGTTTATCAATCTTCTTTTTCCTAAATGAGAAGGTCAGTGTGTACAGGGACAGTGTAACATCTTGTTTCCCCTTATAATGAATGAACATTGTAGGAGCTTTCGCCCATTTTATAGTTACAATTCGGTGACAAAGGGACTAATAGTTGGTTATTATTAGGGGAATTCACTCTAAGCTCATATTGATCTGTTATTTAAAATCCAACAGGACTTTGTACACAGGTGTTCTGTATTTATTAAATCTAGGACAACAAAAAACGTTATAATCTGACAATCTTAGACAAAGACACAAACGAGCAACACAATCAGACATGGGGTGGCCATTGTCCAGCAGTATGGATGAATACGTGATGAGAAGGATGTAGCGGATAATTGCATGTCGGCGTCTCTATTATGCGATTTATAAATCTAATTTAGCATTCAGACTATGAGCAACATGATGGACATGTCACCAGACCTCTCTTTGTTGATTTAACAGAAAGATTTAGCTGACTTAGTAAAGAAACGAGATTGGGTTTCGCGACTGGAACACTAACCTGGTCGTGGTCGATGTCACAGTCTCCAGTGATGACGATGCGTTTCTCAATTCTCGTCTCTGATAAGCCGCCCTTTAACATCTGCAACAAAATACACAACAACAATAAGGCTTTGATGTTTGGTCAAATTGGTTAATCCCCCCCTGGTGGATATAACAGGTCATATCTATGGAAGCCCTGAGAGGAGCACGAGTCTGAGTTAAAGTCTGAGTCTAAATACATTTCTGTGTTTATGAAAAACTGGGACTTCAAAATAAGGTAAAAGAGATTTTGCAAGGATCATCTTTTGAGGTTGTGAGACTGACCGTTGAGCGGCCCGACCAAGCAAGGAGGCAGAGGCAGAGAATCCAAAAATATAACCCGACGGGGCATTTATTAAATGATCAACCCAATGTTAGATCACACACAATGACACAGCCACAATAAACTGCTCACGTGCCCCAGCCTGCGGCCACCAGCAGCTCACACACACATACTCCAGCACAACAAAAGACAGCACTTAAATACACAGAGGAATCAAACACAGGGGAGGGAAAACAATTAGACACAGGTGAGGGGGGAGGGACAACCCAGGGCCCCAGGTGCGCACAATCACCCGGCCCAAAGCCATCAGTCCATAGTGACGCAGTTCCCTGCGTCACAGAGGTTATGTTGTTTTCATCCAAAGAAATTGCCAGGTGAATTTGTATTTTTTTGTCTGGATCCTTTTTAAGTGTTTGTTGTTGTAATATTTATTTTGGCCACAAGAGATAAAAGTCTACCACAACCAATTGTTTTTAAATAGGAATAAAAGCATACATGTTTAAGTAGTTTTTCATTTTTCTTTGTATGTATTAGTGGGTTGGAAAGCTATTTCAATTCAAACATACCAGTAAGACAATGCTTTTAGTCTAAATTAGAAGATAGGATTGTTGTACACTGTTGTACAATGAATGAAATTAGTATTACAACAACAAACACTTGATCCTGAAAACAACAAAAACACCTGCCAAAACATGTTTTCCCATCTGTTTTTAAAATGAAATAAAAAGAGAAAAGAAAAGTGTTAAATTATCCTATTTTTTTCCAACTGTTCTGAGGTCTTGCTTACCTTCCATACAAAGCAGAAAAGAGAAAGAAAAGGCATAAGAATAATTGTGTGTATGTGTGTGTACCTTGGTAATGTGTGTGGTTGTAGTAGTACACAGAGATTCAGAGGTGATTGTCTGAGCTGTCATCAGCACACCGGGCTCGCCATCGCCGTTACCATCCAACTGATAACAGAGGAGACAAAAACAGATCATTAGCTGAACTCCAACAGAATATCCCTGTCGCTCCAAAGAAAGTTTTGTTACAAACTAAAACATGATTTCCCTGAGGAAGAAGAAGTGAAATAATCACAGCATGCACTGTTTCTAGGAAGGAAGCTTTTTGGGACGTGTTTTTTAAAACAAAACATTTAAATAATGATACAATTTCACACAAATACAATAATACCGACACACGAAAGGACAAAAATAAACACAAAAACTCCCTTGTGTTTCTTAAATGTGCACCTGTGCGGCTTCGTATGTGATGGTCTTGGTTTCCGTGTGTACGATGGGAACTTCTTTTGTAGCTATCTCAGTTTTCTGGGCTGCAAACGTGTCTGATATAGTCACCATTTCTGTCTTTACCACAGGTGGCTAGGGAGGGACGAGAGAGAAGTGAGGGAGGAGTTAATACAAAGAGGGTCAATTAACACTGAGACAGTTAAGGAGACATAAAGACACATGTACTAACACTAGCTTAGGAAATCACTTTCAATGTTTGAGGTTTTTTTTGGTAAAATATCGTAAAAGTGTAAATATGTGATTTTTAATGTCAAATAAAGTACTTATTGTACTGAAAGGGAAGTGATTCAGTTGTCCAGTGGTACACATAGCAGTAGTTGTATAAAGCATTTGAGTCAATGCAGAAAAAACTCATGCAAGTTTTTTCAATCTCGTGCAACAACACCAGAACAAAACGCAGAATACGACAACGACTATTTCCAGCAATGCACAGGCGACAGCTACAACAGCAGCACACAACTACGACAGCATATTTGGCTTCGACTCAAAAGTACGACACGGCACAAACATGCATAGAACATGAGCATATAACAAGACGGGCAAATTGATGTTTAGACGGCATGCAAAAAAAGACATTCAGATGAGCGGGTGGCATTTCCTGAGTGGTTGGCAATGATGATTTCCACAATAGCGTTACCATGGTGACCATGACGAGCCAATTAAACTCTCAGAGGGAGAGAAGCATCACTGCCAAAACACGTGGAGGACACACACAAGTACACACACACACCAAAAAGTGAAATACGGCATGTAGAGCAAAAACAGCAAGTGTACACCTAAAAGCATCATGCAGGCCCCATTTACTTCACAACACTAACAAATACAGAGAAGGAGGAAGTAACACCACACTATGATAATGTTGATAATGATGTGGAGTATGATGATGTCACAGAACTTATATGAATATGGGAAATCCACATAAAGACTGAAATTAATGGTGTAGTGGATGGTAACTTGACACCAACGCACAACAAAAAAACTCCTCAGTCGGATTTAACTCTATAGGACAAACAGGAAGTGTAAGGATGTACATGGGGCTTTAATATTCACGCAAAAGCAGGAAGGAAACCGGCACTGTGGAAAGCAGGAAGGAGAGAATATGTCGGGTGTTTCTACGGCTGGTAAGATGGATGAAAGCCCAGAGGGGGGGGGGCTCTGCAGTCGGCAAAGTGAAGACTTTACCTCGGAGCAACAAATAACCTGCGGCCGGGGACCTGCTTCCACCACAGAGGCTTCTCCGTTCATTTTCAGCTCTTCCTCTTCCTCCTCCTCCTCCTCTTCCGGGGCGAGACCACTTTCCTCCGGCAGGGTGTGACCGTTTGTAGCCTGTGTTGTGATTGGATCATCGTTGCTCTTAGCTTCTACTTCCTCGACTACATTCTTCTTCTTCTTCTCGATCTCCTCTTCTTCTACATCAGCGGGAAGGGAAGGAGCATCTGGAACCGACACACCCTTTTCCTCGTCCTTCTCCTTCTCCTCCTTCTCTTCTTCCTCCTCCTCCTCTTCCTCCTCTGGTATTTGTGTGTGGCAGATAGACACGGAAACATTCGGATGGTACTCCGCTTCTTCCTCGCTCTCGCTTTCCGATGAAACGCTCTCCTGCTTCGCCTCTTTTGTTTCCACCGTTACGACTACTTCTTTTTCCACCGTCACTTCCTGTGGGCTCGTAACCGTGACGAGTCCGGGTTTGGGCGCTATGGAAACCTCTTGGACGACAACGGTTTCTTCAATTTCAACTTCGGCCGTCTATACACATGCATACACACACACACACATGTACACGGACACACGCAATGGAAGTGCACAGACATACACAACAAACGCATGGGGACACAAAAATAAAATAACAAGATCATTGAACATAAATAAAAGATAAATAATACACAACGGAAATAAAAGAAGATGAAGATGTTCAACTGTGGATAAAGAGACACAAAGACAGTGAGCGGAACAGATATGAAGACAAATGAAAAGTCATAAATTGATGATTGCAGAGGCAGCATGGCATTTCAAGCTGCCAGGAGGAAATGGAGGAAAAGGATCATGAATGGAAGGCTGGATGGATTAATAAAAGTTAATTTAGGACCACCTTTGCAGGTTCTTTGGTTTCAGAGATCAAGTTTTCTGTGGCGGGGACATCTTCCAGTTGGGGCGCACTTTCCTGCGTGACAGAAAGTTACCATGACAACCATCAATCAAACACACTGACCGTGACAAAGCATAGAATTTGTAACTTAGCCGTATAGAGTGCCACAGTGACGCGTCCTAAAACCCAGAAGTAAGTTAGCATTTTACCACTTCCGGTCCCTTCGACAAAAAGCAATGCATTTTTTCCATAGGATTTTGTAAAATAGCTGGAAATAAGATCTGTGTTTGACACAAATTGAAGAGACAGATCACGTTTTGTTCTACGACATTAAATACATCAGCAGTGAACCCGCTGGTGATTTTTGATGAGTTTACGTGTCTGAAAAACGATGGTTGTTAACAAGTGGCTGAATAGGACTACAGAAGTTGTCGAGGCCGTTGTACGTCATTACACCGAACGCGTAAACACTCCCGCTAAGTTTGTTTTCCCTGTTCTGCTTGAAAGCAAGTACCTGCCTCCTGCAAACTGTTCAAACAAACGCTTCAACTTGTAGCATTTAGAATCTGTATTTTTGAATATGGATCTTAAGTCGGCGTTGACCCTGCTGTAGTTCGTTTATAGCATAACGTTAGCATTCTGCTTCCGGCGAATAGATTAACTATTAGAAAATGAACAAAACGTGATCCGTCTCTTAAATCTGTGTCAACCACAGACCTTATTTCCAGCTATTTTCCAAAATCCTATGGAGAAATTGCATTGCTTTTTTGTCGAAGGAACCGGAATGAGTTTACTTCCGGGTTTTAGGACGCGTCACGGTGGCACTCTATAGCGATGCTTGCACAAGGGAGAAAGGGTTGAATATGTTAGTTGGATTCTCCATCTTTCATGCAAAGTGATCAATCGATGAGGAATCGGGTTGCAGGCAGCAGGGATGAAAAGAGTTTACGATGAGGAGAAGATAAGAAGATCCCTGGTAGGTTTAAAGAGAATATCCCATCAATTTGAAAGATAAAAGAGCCTTGTATTGAAGTCAGCAGTTTCTCTGAGATGAATGACCATAGAAAGCCTGGGATACTTAAATGAATTTAACATTTTAAAGCATATGTAAAAAAAGGAAAACAGTGTGAATCTAATTTGATTTATTTTAAGCTTGGTGTAAACTAATGCTTCAATACTTGCTGATTTTGTAGCAAAAAGTATAAAAAATAAACCTGTTGTTCCTAAAGTAGCTGGTAAAGAAGATATTTATATTTAAATGGGGCGGATTTGCTTTCAATCCACAAACAGAAGTACCACAACAAAACAAACGGGGGATGTTCTATCATCTGTTATTTACTTTATATTAGATTTACCATGCCTATTATTCAGGATGAATGGTCTCTGTTACAAATCATTCATCCACCATCCACAGCAGGCCATATGGACAGCTTGCATGTATTTAGTGTTTGATGAACACATCTTGCAAGCATCTAGAGTTAGATAGATTTACTTTCATCGACTAAACTGAAAGTAGAGTGACTCCTAAAGGTTCAGTAGCAGCACCTCAGTGGAAGTAGGAGCTGGGGTTATATCAGCATCTAGAGTCGGTTCAGGCGTACAGCAGGCAGGAGGCGCTGAACAATAGCCAGAGTGTCTACTGAGGAGTACAGAAGCTATCTCCTCCTCGAGACTCTACAGCAACACACAGAACGTAGAGAAGAAGAGAAGAAATGAAACTTTTGAGAGGAGACAGAGAAGAAATAAAGGAACACAAAGAGCAGCCATGCGTCACACCTCCGCCTCTAACACTGATTATATCAAGCAGAACAGATTAAGAGAGCGGATACCAGGAGAATATCACATCATTGACAAAATAAAACAGTTGTACTTCAGCAATAAGATATAAAACGTGAGTCCAGCTGGAAAAAGAAATAAAGAAATGGAGCAAAGCGAGAGTCCCTAGAGAGAAGAAGAAACCCCATATAGTGCATCAAGTGGAGAATGGGGTAAAAACAGGTGATGAAAACCGCAACAAAGCAAAAGCATCAAATGGAAATGCCCACTTAAGACTCAAGAAACAGACTTTGTTGTTTCTTTGCAACAGTTTTGCAGCACTGCAACGAAAACCTTCCACCAGACAAAAGTTTGAAAGTAAAAATGCCCCATGCTTCCTCTCGGACAGACACACCCAGACAGACGTACCACTTGCTGTTGCTGCTGCTGCTGAATACGTATCGTTGGAGCGGGGGAGGAGGTGAGACGTTTCTCCCACTGGTTGGGCTGAGGAGGAGAGGGAGGTGGCGCCTCCATAAAGGAGCGCTTTAGCTGGCTAATGCTAGCTTGGTGTTTCAGAACCTCGTCCGTGGTCTTATCATGGTCCTAATGAGGGGAGGGGGAGTGGGACAGGAGGGTGGGGTACAAGAGTGGAGAGTAAATAGGATGAGTATGGATGGTAGGGGAGAAAAGATAACATTTTGGAATGTGGGATAGAGGTGGGGAGTGGAGGATCATGGGAAAGATGAGGGGAAAGGGTGATGGAAGAGAAACAAAATAGATAGTAAGAAGAAAAATGACAACAAAAAGAGTATGATAAGTAAAGGTGGAAGTACAACAAGGTTTTAAAAGAAAAGAAGGAAGAATGAATACAACAAAACAAATGTAAGGGTAGGAGGAAGAAGGAAAAGGGGGAGGAAGGAGGGAAGGATTAAACAAGAGAGGGATGGGGGAGGGGGACACGGTTCAACAGGTCATAGGAACATTAGTCTGTCAATCAGGAGGAGGAGGACATGGATGCCATGCCTCACTGGAGCCTTGTTTGCTGTTCAATCTTAAATCATGCATTTTCTCTCTCTATGTGGATATGTATGTGTGGATGTGGATTGGAATAAGCAGGCTGCAGTGAAACAGGGCCTCTCCATCGTTCTGAGGCACGGGACAGCAGTGCAGGCTGCAGAGCATGGAGCTGATAGTGGTGATGAAACTGCACTATTTCTTTCTCCTTCACTGCACTCCCATCTGACTCTTTATCCATATTTAGTAATTTAGCACATTCTCATTTATTAATATGGTTATTTTCTTTTTCCTCTCTCTTATATGTTCTGTCTTTCTGTCAGAGATCACAGGATACAATTAGAAACCGTTGAAAATGTGCCGTTTTTGTCGCTTTATAAGTTGACTGATTGGACCAGAAATAAAGGAGGTTTTTCTTCTTGAAACTAACTTCTCTCTTTCAACCCCTCAGCTTAGAATATCACTATCACTATCAGTCCCACGTTGCATAAATAAAGTATTGTTGTTGTTTTAGTATGTTATCAAACCAAGCATCACACAACGCTGGCAACCAATCACCAGAAACAGGAGGAAAGCGCCTCGTGTTTGTTAGCGAGGCAGCAGGGTTAGTCGGGGTTAGTCGCAGCTGCCTGGCAATAATCAAACTCTTTGAACAATCGAGAATTGGAACAAGATAAAAACAAAGCTCACAAAACATGCGCGGAGCATGCATAGAGTCACGTTCACACAATGCCGACCCCACACACAGAGCAGCCATTGTGAACAGCTTGGGAAATGTCCTGGAGGAGAAGGACCGTACTGTTGTGTGGAAAGATACACATCAAATACATTTTTGGCATTTCAGAGATTAAACACTGGAAATGCCTTAGCTTCACCGATCTCTGTCCAAAACATCAGTGTGGGGAGTTGGCAGAAAATATTGTTTATATGGATTTCTTAAGATTTGTTAGAGCTTGACTGGCTGATATGGCTAACGTGCTACATTAGCTTTCATTGTATCTGTGTTTCTGGCCACTCAAGCTCAATACACCATATAAGCAATAAAGTATCCTATATTTATATATTCTTTAATAGTAGGTTGGTTGATTACAGTAGATTCTAACTTATTCTATACATTTTATATTCTATAGATAATGTGTTTTATTACAGTTTTAACCTATATGCAATGCCTTGTTTACAGGAATCAATCATATATATTTAATCTAGTCCAATTTAATCTAATATTTAAACTTTTTCTCCCTCAAAACTTTAGTAAAATATCTGGCTAGAGTATAAACATGTTGATTAGTGCAGCTTTAAGTGACATTTGTTTGATATATCATATAACAATGTGTCCAGGCCCATGTGTTCAGAAAGGCTGCCATGTGAATTAGGACGGTGAGCACTGAAACCACTTTAAACCAAAACGATTTCAATCATACCACAACAACAGGAAATAGCTGGCATTGAGTGTACACTTCCACACACATAAACACAGGCAGGCATGCAACAGAGCCTGAGAGTGCGAGAGGGCAGCAGTCCTGTATAGTGTAGTACAGCACAGAGGGAGTTGTAGTTCTGATGGCGTCAGAGTACACAGAAACATGTAGTTCTTATATTCGGCCATCAGGCGACGCCAGTACCAACCTCCAACATTAAATTACTGTGCCTCACATAAATATTGTCCCCATGCACTCTGTTTGGACTCTGGAAGGCAGACATACAGCAAGAAATAATAAATGGAAAAATTAATTTAAAAAAAATAGAAGTAAAATAAATGCATTTTGTTTTAAATCTATAAAAATAAGAAAATCTGTAATAAAAAAAAGTAAATAAAATTAATAAGAAAACAAAAAATAAATCATAATACAAAATATATAAAATTAAGTATACAACAAAAAAAATTGAATAATACAAATAAAATGCGGTGACACAGCCAACATGTCTCAAACTGTGATGAAGGCTGGAAGATGGGTACAAGCACAAATTAACAACATTTTGGGGTTCATTGAATGTCATTATGCTCTCACTCGTACCCATGTTGACTCATGCAAAATCCAAAATAGCACCAACAGACATGTGTAGAAACCCACAAAACCGTGCTTTCAGGAAAACCCCAAAACATAACAAACCACAAATATGAACCAGCAACCAAACAGAAAGTGGAAACCAAAAACCCACAGCAGAGCAACCGAAAGTGAGGATTTCTGGGTAAAAAGTACCCACTCAGGTTCACTGTTTACACTCAGACCCAATCTGGAAACAAAGGGTCTTATCTCAAACATATTTATAACTTTATATCAGCGGTAGTCAATGTTACTTCCAGATTGGGTCGAGAAATAAAAAAAAAACTGTATGATCGTGTTAGATCACCATAAAAGAGGCGTGAACCAAACCGACGCTTGCCGGGCAAATGATTGACAGACCAAAATAATAAAACAACCAATAATAATGTGTGAACCTGAGAGGGGGCGGGCTCACTGGCTCCCAGTGACTGTTGGTGGGGTGAAGTAAGGGAGAGAGGAAGGACAGGTTACACTATACAGTAACCACCTTTACAATACTCCTTAGTAATTCATTCCTATGTTTAATTCTCTATATTTTGCAAAGCATGCTGGGTAAAGTCGGACCCTACAGACCTGGGTGGGCGTGGCTTCCGCATCACCAGGGCTTAAGTCCACCTCCATAACCTTTAATGTTGCGGCGAACGGCAGTCATGAGACAATGAGCAGGGTAATGGGGTACGGAGAAAGCAAAAGGTGAAATGGAAGATGGGAAACGTTGCTTCCCTTTAGCAGCCGTAGGGAGGTCATGTGACCTTTGCCCCAGTAACATGAAAAAAGTCTGAGATGGTCAATAAATGGATTTCCTCATCGTATAATACAAAAAAGATTCACAGTCCGTCATACATGACACAAAGTTCAGCTTTTTCCTAAACCTTTTTCTTTGTAGTACAGTTAATGCGTAAGTACAATTCTATCAATACTTTAGAGATAGTATGTGTATTTATCACACAAACGCTACTTTGTAGTCAACTAGGACAATTATAGAACTATTCTGATATTATTTAGAACTGTCTTATGATCATTTGTCCCTTTTATCTGCATCTACAGCTTTATCGAGCAGGAAAAAGACAAAAGGCCACCATGAAAATGCCATTACATTTTGACTTAAAACTAAGCGAACAAAATATGGGGGTTAGAGAGGGACCTTAGGGATCGGGGCGAGTGTAACACTGTTTACTCTTAACATTTATTCGCAATATTATACAAATGAATAAGCTTTAAGTGCTCCGCCTTGATGTAGTACTGTAACGAACTGTATGTACAGTTATATCATGTATTCTACAAAGGCAGAATGCAGCAAATGTAGTCAAAAATAAAACACGTTTCTCGCTTGATTATCTTGCATCATACCAATTTACACAACGATGTTGCTTTATTTGAAGAGCGTGACATTAATATGCTGCGTGTCAAACACATAGGGGATGTATAATGACTATTTAAGAGATCTGAAACACGTTAAGCATTTGAAATAACTCGTAAAGTGTGTTTTGTGCATCCCTAAAAGTCTCTGTACAGTTTTTAGATAACTTAATAACTATAACTCTTCTCTACTTTATTCCTTATATATACTTTAACATTGTGTATCCTTTATAAACTCTGAGTTTTATACTTTGTTTAATATAACTGGTTCTAATCTTTATTATAAACAATACAGTGGCGGGGTTCAGGGATGGCAAGCCATAAGAAAATATTCAGGGAAATAAGGGGGTGGTGACGAGAATGATTGTAGAGATAAGAGTTTAAACATTTATAAATAGAGGATGTAAACGGAGAGGGGAAAGGATTTGTCGGGGGGTTTCTGTTCATCTATGCGGCGGGATCACACATCTCTTGCGTCCTGGTAGCGCTCGTGTGGTGTCTGATACGCGGAGGTGTGTGTGTCGGCGTGAGAGGAAAGCTTAGCGGATGCTCGGACTGATCGTTTGCCGTTTCCGGGTCAAAAGTTGGCAAAAATGCCTTTCGCTGACTGGACACAAGGTTCTCCAGGTAACACAGGGTCAGGCCGAGGGGTGTGGCTAAAACTAAGGCTAGGACTAAAGACTGGCTTGCTGTTAGCATCACGACCAACAGGAAGACGACGAGCAGGCAGGGCAACAAGAGAGGGGAAGGATTTAGGAGGTAGCGATGGATGGACGGGGATACATTGGAGCGGGAGAAGGAGGAAAGAGATGGAACAGAAAATAAATAAGAGGGAAGAGAGGAAAGCGCGGGGAGGGAGGATAAGGAAGAGGCAATTGGAGGACAGGAAAGAGAAGAAATGGAGGGCAGGTGAAGTCGTTTTGGCCGCCAAAGAACAGCTGGAACCAAGCTAGTAGCTTTAGCCGACAGATAGCTTGTTAGAAACGCCCAGAAACTGGTCCAATTTAGAGCCAAGCCATTACCAATTTGGCGTAAACTGGGAGTGACGATATCTCTAGGAGTGAGTTTTAGGGTTAAAAAGCGTAATTTCTTCATTAATCCTGAAATGAGTTGTTTGGGCAGAAACCTGTTGCCGTTTTTCCCCTCGATGGAGAGAAAACACAGGACGAAAGAGACATATCTAACGACACCCCTGAGGGAGAACCAGCTGCACCAATTTGTAAATGGAGGTTTAGTTTCAGCCACACAGCCTTCCTCAACGCAGGAAACCTCGGAAACGATTGTTTGGGAGCTTCTAGGGGAGGCCGGAGGGTTTAGTGCGAGATCGGCAGACTGTTGATCGGAGAAAAGAGAGAAGGTGTTCGAGGGGAGAGCCCACAGCGAGTGAGACGCTGTGAGGTCGTCGGTAAGGTCATCATCTTCGGAAATGTCGGAAAGGCCGCGGTCGAACTCGGAGATGGTGTCGAGGGAAGGGGGGAGGGAGGAGAGGGAGGATGACGAGGAGAAAGAGAGAGGGAACATGAAGATGGACTGATGGGGGCGGATTGCAGGAGAGAAGAGGGAGAGGAAGAAGGAAAGGGAAGAAGAGGAAACAGTGGAGCACACACATCCAGAGTGTATCAGCAAGCAGTGAAGAAGTTCAACCAAAGCAACAGACGCATGTTCAGAACATCATTTCATTGTATCATGAAATGACATCAATGACAGCATGCAAAGGGGAAGTGAAATAAACAAAAGAAAGGGTGTGATTGAAAAAAGAGAGAGGGAAAGAGACATAACATTAGTCAGTGAACACCAAGAACAGGTTCAAGTGAACATAGCAGGGCGGAGAACAGTGTGCACAAACAGTGGCACTACTGGAAAAAGGCTAAGAGAGGTCAGCACACAGTGCCGGGTGAGAGCAGGGAGGAAAGGGAAAGAGGGGGGAGGGGTTGGAACAGGACGCATGCATAATATATACACTTTATACTGTATGTACCAAGTAGTGGGCATAAATCCCTGTTGAGGTACAGAACATTCCTCAGTTATTAGCTCCAGAAAATGTCAACGTGGTGTTCACCTGCCTATAATAACTGCTGTCAAATGAGGTTAACATCCAAAGGAAGATGTTCAAATGAAGATGATCATATTTATCTGGGAAGATTGGTGTTGCTGGTCTGTGTTGCCGATTTCTCTCGCTAAAATGTTTACAGCATAAAGGGAGACCCTACAGGCAACACATTGTTACATTTGGAGAACAATGAGAGCATTTTGAGACTATTGGATAGAAAAACTTCAAAATACACATTAAGGTCTTTCTTTTGCTACTTTTTCTGGGTTTGTTTTGGTAGTTTACATTATAATGTAAAACAAAGAGATTTTAGAAAATCTGTCAGAAACCTCTAATATTTCAAGAAAATGAACAAAAATGTATTAAATGCTTTTATCTAAGATTCAAATGTAGTCCTGAATATGTATGCAAATTAATGAGACTATGTATGCCTAATTTGCATATTCAAATAACATTTAACAATTAGTTAAAGCATTGTCTTCATGTAGGTTATCAACTTGGGAAGTTTCATATTCGTCTATTATTTAAAATATTTGACACATTCCCCTTAAATGGGGGAAATGTTAGAAACCTCGTGGTCTCAGAGGAGGCAAAGTTAAGTATCGAAATGTGTTATCACTTATTACAATAAAAATGTAGTAACCCAGGAAAAAGGCATGTTATTATAAAGGTATGACAAATATAATGTTGATTTGAACACACTCTGGGAGGCTAAATGTATCAGGATTCTTCTATAAACACTAGGATAAGCAAAAAAAGGGTCCCATCTAGAGACATGGTGTTTTCCCATCACCCACAGACATGAAATGTCTCTCTCTGTAACGCAAACATATTAACAGTTCCCGGGGGGATACAGCCCCCCATCTATAGTATAATGACAACAAGGAAAGGTGACTTGCCGTAAAAACATGAATAAATACGTTTTTCTCATTCTTTCTTTTTCGACACACGGAAATGCATACTGTATCTACACAGGGTGAAATCATCAAACACACTCTCTCACAGACACACACCTTAGAATCTGAGTGGAGATCCAGGTGGGGATCACGTCCATTCTCAGATGTGGCTTCAGTAATGCTGATCATTGGTGCTAAAAAATGAGAAACAAGAAAAAAAACATGATTATTTAACTTAATTATTTAACCCTTATCCACTGGCAGCTGCTGTATGTACTTGTTCAGATAAAGATCACTGGTTTGTTTTACACCTGGAACAACGTTTTTTTCTCTAAACAAGGGTGTGATTGAGCATTGTACAAAGTAGATATTTGGCATAGAAAAAAATACTTAATTTGATTTATAAAGAACAATAAGAAAGATGTTGGCTTGCAGTGGAATAATGTGTCCAGCAGGGGGCGATGTAAGATCGTTAAGTAACCGCACAGATGTGATACAGCAGTGCACAGCTGCATCAAGTGGGCTCTATAGGCCAAACAAATAACTAAGAAACAGTGCACCTTCAACCAAAGACATTCAAATATGTATTTGATATGAATCATTTAAATATTTAATCAGCAACGATCTTATTCAGGTGTTCATCCATGTGCATTATTAAATGTTATCACTGCTTGGCAAGCTTTCTCTCTCCACCATGACATGTATGTGATCCGAGAGTGACTTCATGCTCTATTTCTTTCATTGGTTTAATTTTTTTTTTCCTTTAAAAGACACACAAAACATTCTTTCTTTCCATCTCTTTCTCTCGCCCCTCTGTCTCTCACCGTGTGACAGGAAACATATGCTGCAGCTATTTCCTGTATCTGGTCAGACACTAGCGTTTTACTTACACACACACACACACACACACACACACACACTTCCATCTGCCTGTCACTCCTTCCACTAAATCTTTTTCGTGTGTATGTCCATTCATTGAAATAGTTCAGAGTAAAGCTGTAATGCCATGTGTCTGTTACCTCCATCCAGACTGCGGCTGCTGCGTTTGGACGCGGTGCGTTCGAAGCAGGGTTCGGGGCGGTCTATGAGGGAGCTGGCCACGCGGGTTTGGGCCTGGGTCCGCCCGCTGTAACGGAACTTGGAGCCCAGGGTCAAGAAGCGGGCCTTGGCAGGGGGCTCGGGTGCGTTCAATCTACAGACAGACAGAGATAGAAGGAGAAAGGGATGGGAGAAAAGGAGAGTGCATTTAAAAAAAAAAGGCACAGTAGTAGTAGGATGAGACCTAAACAAACGATGTATAGACTAGACCAGGGGTCTGCAACCTTTTTGACCAAAAGAGCCATTTTGCTCCTTTTTCCCAAAATGTTTTTGTCTGGAGCCGCAAAACATATTTCATAGCTTGATAGCTAATAAAGTTGTATTTATTGTTATATCAGACAAAAACTACAGTTTTTTTGCAATTATTATGCTATTTATTACATTATATAAAACTGTTAACCTCTAATAAGAAACAAAGAACTCCTATAAGGAGAATTAAAAATAATACACAGGCCTACTTTAAAATAAATTAAACACAGCACTTGGGGAGTCCTCTGCACATTTGAAAGAAAAAAAATATTATTAAAATGGGCCCACTTTGAAATAAATAAAACATATAGCTGCACCCTAAAAATAGTTAAAGGTAGGGTAGGTAAGAATGGAGAAACCAGCTCGAGTGCGCTAGAATTTGGGGGGGCGCTAGTGGATCGCCGGAGCTGTTAGATTAACATTAACATGCTTATTGTAGTTGTAAGTGCACTGCCTTGCGGCCTGTAGAGCACCGTCCTTGATGGACCATATGTGTGGGCTGGACCTGTATTTTACAGGAAAGGAGTGAGCAGAGAGTAGAGTAGTTGTCGATTCTTTTTCTGTTTTCTGTGAATATCTGCCTCACCACCCTCTCAGACTTTGAGTTGCGCGCGCTACTAAAGANGTGTGCCTTGGCAGTGCTTGAAAGCCATGCCATGCTCCCCACAATGCAGTTCGGCGAAGATTAAAAATCTTCTACGTCACCCCATTCAAGTGAATGGGCGAAGCGTTGAAAGCATTTTTCGATGCCTGTAGTGTAGACGGGCCGAAATCTTTTGAGAGCCAGGGAATGAGCAGCCATGCTCCTTTATTGACTTATTTGCTGTCCACTGACATTCAAACGGAGTGAAACTATAAAAGAAAGACGTTACAAGGCACTTAATGATCTCATCCATGCAAGTTTAACATACACAGATTACTTGTAGAATATGGTCATGTAGAATAAGGCATTAATAAGTGTTTTATAATGACTAATAAAGAGCCAATATACTGCTAATATGCATGTTAATTAACAACTAGTTGATGGTGAATTTGTGTATTTGTGTATATGAAGTTGTACCGCTTATATGATGAACATTGATGTCTATGTGCCTTGTTCTGTATTTGACATAATAGTTTCAATAAAAAAAAATATATATAACTCAATATATTGAGATAGCTAAGTCAATATATTTTTTTTATCAATATGTTTATTGATTTTCAGCATACAAAAATAATCACATACATAGGACGAAAACATAGAGAGCTAAGTCAATATATTGAGATAGTAAGTCAATATATTGACTTACAGGATTTTCTTTTTTTTCCTGTGGCACAAACAGGCTTCCATACTGTATGATGGTCATATTTTGGAGTCACGTGAAAGGTTACTAACTGAGCGACTTGTGTTTCAGGTGTGTGTGGTGTCGGCCTCGCTGGTTCAGTTGTCATTTGTAAACGACAACCCTGAACTGACCAGAAACCTGCACAACGCCCTGTGTTTCTTCAACCCGCTGTACCCTCTCATGGGCTGCCTCAACTGCATCACCAAGGTACGGGCTCAACAGGCACTTCTTCCATGGCTTTCTCTGTTGCTCTTTCTTTAAAACCTGCATTAAAGGGATTGTTCTACTTGTTTAAAGGAGGTTGTTAGATTTAAACCCTTCCGTATATTTGGACGCACATACAGTACTGTACTACGTATTCTTCCTGCTCTCATCAACCCTCCCATTATAAAGGCAAAGGCAACTTTTTCCAGTTTAAATAACAGTTAAATAAAAACAATTTTTGGAGAGTGGAACTTATATAATTTTTCAGGAGTTGTTAACAAGACGTATTTACTCTATTGTATACATTTAACTTGTTTATATAAAATGATACAGCTTGCTTTTCTTGAACTTGTGAAGATGTGAAAGATCAAGCTGTTAATTCCTTTTAGAGGCTCGCTGATGTATGATCAGGACCCCCTCTCACTGATCTTTGTTCTTGTTTCCAGTCGACATTCCTCCCCTCGCTGTATGAGTCAAACTTCTTGTGGAAAAACCTGCTCATTGCAGTTGTAGCTGTACGTATATACAAACACAAACATTGCTCTGCTCAGTAAACAGACACTATGTGTTCAGATATGATACTCTATGTCTGTGTCTGTGCTCAGCCCTATCTGCAGTGCATCCTGCTGCTCTTCCTGCTACGTTGGCTGGAGATCCGTTACGGAGGGAGGACCATCAGCAGGTAAGGATCAGATTTGAAGTCCTAATTAAGACATTTAGAGGGTTTTTTCCTGTATTTTACACACACAGTGCACGCTTCTTAGTTTGACACCAGTGTGTGATACCCATGTCATGTTTTAATGATCATTATTTTTCATGTCCAGTATCTCATCCAAGTCAAAGCCCAGACTGGACAAAAACATAGAGGAAGGGCTGAACGAGGATGAGGATGTTCGGATGGAGAAGGCCAGAGTGAAGGAGGCCCTCACCTGCCAGTCATGTGAAGAGGTGAGCTTCAGGGAAATAGGGAGCTGTTTCCTTTCTGTCTCGACAGCACACTTTCTTTCAAATCTCACATCAGTCATATCACTCGGTCTGCCTATTTCCATCTACGCAACATCAACCGCCTCCGCCCGTCCCTTAACCCTAAGAGCACCGCCATTCTTGTTCACACCCTGGTCACTTCCCCATTCGACTACTGCAACTCCCTTCTCTTTGGTCTCCCTCTCAAATCCATCCACAGACTTCAACTGGTCCAGAACTCTGCCGCCCGCATCCCTCCATTAACCACATCACTCCTGTTCTTCAGCAGCTTCACTGGCTCCCCGTCAAATCCTCGCCTTTAAAGAGCAACTTCCAGGTTAAAGACACCTGTGAATAAATGTGTAGGAAAATGATGAATACACTAGATTTTCAAAGAATTATACAGAAATATACACTACAGTGACATCTGGCGTCGTTTTTGTAAGAAATGTTCACTTCCGCATAAAAAAGCCTCGGCACGTGACCTCCCGCGTGTGACGTAACACGGGGGACACAAGGGGGAGAGCGGCCGGTGTAACGTATTAATAAACATGGATCCCAATGCTAGTTTCGACACAGAAGACACAGAAGAAGTTGAACATGAATATTCGAATGCATATGACGGACCACAACCTTATAATTATGAGCCTGCTAGGCGTCCAAGAGAACCAGAGCCAGCCAAGGATTTAGAATAATAACGGCCAATCGGAGAGAAATTGAAGCTGTGGTGTGAGG